CCCAGAGGGCTGCTACTACCGCCGTTACTTCAGCTGCCGTCGAGGAGGTCATTGCCGAGGATGGAGCCACGAGGGTTGTTACCTAGCCATGTTGGCTTGTTTATGCACTTGTGCTTTCTGCTTTTATTTTAGACATGATTTGTTTCAGTGCCTGGATAGCTTTGTCTGCTTAGGTCTTGACTTAGAACCTTGCTATTGCTTTTGTGCCTGAACGACTTTATCCACTTAGGTTATGACTTTGGACCTTGTGGGTTTTTGCCTCGTATCAAAGAATGATGCGGGATGATTTATTGATGTGGCTTTTGATATTATTTTTTAGAATTTGTTTTCCCCCGTTTATCTTTCGATAGGATGAAATGCTGCTAGACAATTATCTGTTTTGAGCTAAGTATTATGGTTTACGGATGAGTTCTTTTTAACAAGTCCCCTAAGAAAATAACTTAGATTTTTGATGCGACCAATAGCTCGTGTATTGGGTTTTGGGCTAAGAACTATGGTTTACGGATGAATTCTCTTTAACAAGTCCGCTCCAAAAATAACAGGTTTTTGATGCGATCAATAGCTCGTGTATTGGGTTTTGGACTAAGAATTATGGTTTACGGACGAGTTCTCTTTAGCAAGTCCGCTCCAAAAATAACTTAGATTTGTGACTTATGATTCGACCAACGTTTCGTGTGTTGGGTTTTACTTTGTGACTCCGAGAAGCGAGCACATTTTCGTGGCTAAGACCAATAGTCAGATTATTAGGTTTTTGGATGATCATTTTTGGTTTATAGACGATTCTCATTAACAAGTCCGCTCCAAGCCGATTATGTATCACGTAGTGACCAATGTCTTTTTGTTGGGTTTAGGATGAACATTTTGGATTACGCATATGTTTCTCTTTAAACATATCCGCTCGATAATGAACAAATAGCGATAGAACCAACGATTTGCAAGTTGAGTTTAGAATGAATATTTCGGATTACGCACATGTTTCTCTTTAAACATATCCGCTCGATAATGAATATTTATATTTGTATAGCGCGCTTTTAATCATGCAAAGGATGTGTTTGTCAGATCTGAAGTATTCATATAGATTCGTCACTGTAGCCAGCAGCCACAAGTGTAAGTATAAAATGTTTGGTTGTAGCTAAAAACGATAATTGATCCGTATATGATGTGATAAGTGTGTCTGTTTTCAAGATTTAAAGAATCCGTGAAGGATGTAGACGAGTTTAAGTGAAATCTTCCTTTTGATTAATCGTGAAAAAT